ACTATTATGGTTTGGATCTTAAATGCAACCTACCCCACCTCCCCCCCTGAAAAAAGCTCACGTGTTGAAGACTTGGTTCCCAGCTGATGGCACTATAGGGAGGCTGTGAAAACTCTCAGAGGTGGGGCCTAGTGGGAGGAAGTAGTCCCTGAAGAGTGTACCTGGTCCCCAGCCCCTCTCTTGCTCTCCCTCTCTGCTTCTTGGCCACCACAAGGTGAGCAGTCTGGTTCTACCTGCCTGCTGTTCTACTCACACACCCTGCCCTGATTCTCTGCCTCACCAGAGGCTCAAAAACAATGGAGCCAAGTGACCATGGCCTGAATCTCTCAAATGTGGCCAAAAGAAATCTTTCTTCTTTTTAGTTAATTTTCTCAGGCATTTTTGTCAGAGTGACAGAACACTAGCACAGGTACTTTAGGTTGGAATGCATAGGCCACACATCTCCCCTTCCTTATTGGAGTAACTCACCCTATCTCCCCTGCCTCCTTCCTGTTCCAAAGTGACTTTTGGGCTGTTCCAGTGGAAACTAGTAGAGAAAGAAAATCATGGGTACAGGCAGGCTTTGCTGATTGATTATTTCATACTTGTGAAACAATTTTCTGTACCAATTATGTCTTTGCAGATGACAGAAACCATTTAGTCTAATGACCATAATAATTAATTTTCATTATGAAGCAGATTGGTTAATGATGCTGAAGCCTAGATTTCATTATAGAACTAAAACACAAAACTTGCCCACACTCCCAGAACATAACTTTCAAGTTTGTTAAATCAGGGAGTAAATACAGTCATTACTTCTCTTTTAGAGTCATCTGAGGCAAAGTCAGGACAAAAGTGTAAAGAACTATGATAGAGTCTTTCTTTCTTTCTTCCTTCCTTCCTTCCTTCCTTCCTTCCTTCCTTCCTTCCTTTCTTTCTTTTTTAAATTGTGAAATAAGAAGACATTCTGGAAACATGGTCTCTGCATAGCAGCATGAGCATCACTTGGAACTAGTGAGAAGTGCCCTTGCTTGGGCCTCACTCCAAACCTACTGAACCAGAATCTCTGGAAATGGGACCAACCCCCTTCATTTTCATAAGTCTTCCAGGTATTTCTGATGCAGGTTAAACACTGACCTAGATAACAAAGGAGAGATGGTAGACAGGCTTGCTTTTTTTTTTTTTCTTAAGTATTCCTTTCTTAAAGTTTTTAGGTCTCAGAGGCTTTTCCATATTCAAAGGGATCTCAACTACAAACACCTAAGAGCAATATTTGATATGCTAATTAATTATTGAGCATTTGGAAAGTTCGATGAAGGAGCTAGAATGCAGGCAGACATTCAACTTGGGATCAGGAGATTCTCTACCAACATATCCTAGGGCAGAATTCAATAGCTCTATGATCCTAGTGAAGTATAGGTGATTTTTAAGGTAGCTCTTCACTTTTTAAACAAATATGTACAAAACATCCATTTGTTTCTTTGGCAGTGCTGGGGGCATCGAACCAGGGCTGTGTGAATGCAGGCCAAGCGCTCTACCGCTGAGCTGCCTGCCCAGCCCTTTCAGAGCATCACTGGGGATCAGGACCTGTTCTAGATGCTAGATCTCTGCGGTGATTACAGAGACAAAGTCTTTGCCAACATTCTAGAGTTCAGAGGCAAGCAGCAAAGAAATAAATGAATCTGTAATGGCACATGGAATCCCATGCTGTGAAGATGAGTGGAAGGTGGTAGGCGAAGAGAACACAGCAGTGAGGGTCTGCTATTTTACTTTTTCATGAGTTTGGTTTTATTTAGTTGTTTATCTATGTATTTTATTGGTGCATTATAATTATACATCACAGTGGGATTCATTATTGTGTATTCATACATGCACACAATTTGACCAGTCTCATTCCCCAGTAACTTCCCTTTCCCTGCCCTCCTTCCTACCCCTGATCTGCTTGCTCCACTTTACTGATCTCCCTATTATTATTATTATTATTATTATTATTATTATTTTAATTAGTTCACTATAATATTATTATTTTAATTAGTGCATGATATACCACCATGGTATATCCAGACATGGAATAATTTGGTAGATTTTATTCCCCAGTACTTCCCTAACCCTCTTCTAATCCCTCCCTCACCCCCGTTTCTTCTACTCTATTGATGGGGCTCTACTATTTTATAAAGCCAATCAAGAACGTTCTCTTTGAAGAGCAGACACCTAAAGAGCATGAGAGAAAGGAAAGCATATATCCGAGGGAAAAGAGTTTCAGACAGACAAAACGATATAAGATGTGATTGGTGGGTCTATAAACTGGAAAGTAAGAAACTTGGATAATGTCACAAAACTCATCATGAAGCCCGAATACAAACTCGGCTGATTCCAAATGCTACACTCCCTATCTCTCCAGAGGATAGTTATCTGGAAAGCTAACATCTAAACATGCTCAATGGCAAGGCCTGTGGCCTCTGTGCACTCGATGGCAAAGGGACTTAACCCTGGGATGGGACTTTTGTTGGAACTGACCAGCTGTGGTTGTGCATTTGTGAATATGATGAGTCCATCACTTCCTATGGAAATCACTGTTCTATAACTTCGATGCTGCTCAGAGGGATGAGAACTGTTGTCTTTGGCGACAGCATTTTTTCAACTTCCATTCATTGTGCTCCAAGCACTGAGCTACATAAATCATCCACATTTCGTTCTTTTGAAACTCATTTTTATTTTTGTCGCTGGCATGGAACTTACAGGTATGGGAACTTCACAGGGCAGCAATCTTACCATCTTCTCATGTTTCAGTCCTCCTGGGGTCATGCTTGGATGGCAGTAGATACATAGCAAAGATCTGTTCAATGAAGAAAGCAGAAGCGAAGGAACAAAGTCATTCTGCAAATTGAACAGCTACTATGTGACAAAACTGGAGTTCGAATCCAGTCTGTGTCACTCCAATGTTTTTAACTCCTGTGCTGCATTGTGAGCAAAACCCGAGCGTATGAAAACAGTGGAGAGGAAGTCACCTGCCCACTCTATCCCTGCAGCAAAAATCAAGGGTCTCCTCTTCATGTGTGGCCTTGTCCTGGGCTTTCTGGAGCTTAACAGATTATCACTATGCCAGTTCTCTGTCCTCTATGAGGACATACTGGGGTTGTCAATTATACCTCAATAAAGCTGAAAGTAAAATAAAATAATCAGGCTGGCAGGACTAACTCTCATGGAAAATTCAGCCTGCAAGACAATAAATCAAGCAGGGTGGTATCACATTTCATACTGTCTAATCTAGGGCCTGCTATCTTTGGAACAGCAAATAAAAAACCGGCATGATAGTTCCCTGTTAGAAACTGAAAATTGTATCAGTCTAAGAATGACCCTCATGCTAGTTTTAATTAGTTTTGCTTAATCCAAATGGCCAATGTTCCATTTTTTAAACACCTGCTGTCCAAACAAATAATCCTTTGACTATGTGGAGACGTCTCATTTCTTTCCCTCTTTGCTCCCTTGGCCTCTCCTCCTCTCTATTCCTCTATTCCCACTCTCCATTCATTTCCTTTTCCTCCCGCTTCTGTTCATTTTCTTTCCTTTTCATTCCTTTCCCCATCCCTCTTTCTCTCTTACTTTTTAAAAAATCCCCAAGTATGTTGTTATAACCTTTCATGTTTTCTGTGGCTTTTGTAAACCCAACTGTACCCACTTTACACATGAGAAAACGAAGGCACTGGAGACATTACATAATTTGCATTTGTGAAGATGAAAGAAACCCACAGTTCCTAACTTCAAGCATTTTGTGCTTATGAGTTTTCCACAGGTCCCAAAGCAAAAGCTCAGGTTTAACTGTGGGTACTGATTTACAGTGTAAAATGAGTAATCCTACATTCACTCAAGTCAAGGTGAAAGAAAAATAAAGGCTTGCTGGGAAGTCCTTACTGACTTAGTATTTTAACTTAGGTAGTTTGCTTCACTTTTCATAAGTTAGGGAAATAAAAATGATTCTCATACACCAGGGCTTAAAAGGCCCTTTCATAATGATTGAATCATATTTAGAAAAAAATATCTTGTGGGATCAGATGGTGTGGGTCTCATGGTGGTGGTTCAAGACACCAAGACACACAGTGCCTGTCTTTAGGAAGCACTTCCTGTCTACCCTTGAGCAGAGCAGATTAGGTTGGTGCTGTGTTTTTGCCAGTAGGTGGTACTAGCAATTTGTATAGTGTTTGTGAACCTATCCATATAGGGAAGAAAAGGCATGCTTGGGTTATTTTGGGCAGAAATAAGCTCTTGAGACTCCGTTGTCAACCAAAAACCTTTAGCTGGAAGCATGTCCTTGGGTCCTATGGCCTGCCCACTAGAACTCAATCTCTAGGTGGTTACAATGTAATAGTTGAAGGGCTTTGGCCTTAGAAAAGATGCAAAAAAGAGGAGCTCATGTCACCGTCATCTCCCTCCAAGTAATTAGGTTACCAATGACTTCTAACCATATATGATAGTTGGCACAAATTCATTTTCTGAAGGACATGCTGTTAAATCAGTTGATTCGTTTTTCCAGAAGATGTTCTAATAATGAAGCTGTGTTTGGGAGAAGAGTGGCAAAACAGGCTCACCACTTCAAATGTTGATCTTGTCCTGGTTCTAACAAAGACTGACCTTCTATACCCTTGGTTCTTGTTGGAGACAATGTCCTTATACAGTTTAGGGAGGTTAAAAAACAAACAAACAAAAAAAAAACTGTTACATGGCTGGGATACTGAAAGTGGACCATTTCAGGTGCAGAGTAGTTACTTTCCAAATGTGTTTTAATATGAAGCATCTGGGTTGTCAAAAACAGTGTTAATTTATAAGAAGGTGGTTGCGACACCAACTCCAATTAACGTGAATGGTCCCATTATCGCAAAGGGGAGTTAGCGTCATCACCACCGCAGGCTTTCCTCAGCTGCCACCCTCTTCATAAAATAAAATAAGAAACGAAACCCAGTCATAGTGAGCCTCACTGTTGCCTCGTCTGAAGGCAGGGTTGGGCAGAATGGGGGAATTCTGAGACCAGGACCTGGCTTTTGCAGTTTGAAGAGCTGAGCTGGAAAAAAAAAAAAAAAAAAAACCTTGGCCATGAAGACTGTCACTCAAAGTCTCCTTCAATGACTGGGCATAAAACCCCAGGAGAAATAGGTATGCAGAGAGCTGCTGGAGTTTTCATTAGTTACTCTCTAAGCCTTGGCATTAGTTCAGCTATATTATGTCTTTTTCTTCTTCATGCCTTAATAGAGCTAAGGATTATTTGCTCAGTGATTGTAAAATTTTCAATCTTGGTCCAGATTAGGATAATACTTCTCTTCTGGTTTTCTTCTGCTGGTGGGTGGGTGGGCAGAGGCATCCTTATTTGCCTATCCGGCAGCACTATTGTGAGTTTTATTTATTGACTGGAAACTTGGCAAGGCTGATATTTTTTCTTGGTAACAAGACACTACCCTCAATTTTTACTTACAAGGCTCCACGGCAACCAGGTGGAACATACATCATTAGCTTACTGAATAATGAATATATTTTAAATCATGACTTAAAGCTGTTCCTTTACAGTATATTAAACCAGAGAGCCATTTAATGAAAACCCAGCTTTTTGCAGTAGAATTAACTAAATCAAAATGAGACTTGTTTTGGTCAACTTTATTGAAACGCATTCAACTTTCCAAGAACTAAAAAATCAGCTTCCTGTCTTGACTGCTTGGAATGACTTACTGTCATCTGTTTCAAACATTAAAGGATGTGATTTAATATCAGCAATAAGGCCCCCCCTTCCTCATTTGGCAGGTGTTAATTATTTAAACACTATTCATTTTAATTTGTTTTCAATCACTCTTTTGAGTGATTTGCTTTATGAGTTTCATTATATGCATTTCTTGCAAGTAAAAAAACAAAACAAAACAAAAATCAGAAGCAAGTCGGGATGAAGCAGCAAGAGATCTATTGATAGGTGGGGCGAGGCAAGGCTGTATTTCACGTATTATGATCTTCATGATCTCTGCTGATGGAATATAATATACAATACATCATTTTTATCTTCTTTATAATAAAAAGTTGCTCTCGGCACAAAGCCTCAGGTTCCTGCATGCTAATGATCCTTTGCATTTCCTGATCTGTCAATTACGAATGAGCCACAGACATTCAGAATAATTGAAAAATAGAGGAGGGACATTTCTTCTTCCTGCATCATCCTCTTTGTCAATTCTTGCTGCTTTATTCCCTCCAGCTAAACTGGCTCCTGTTATAAACAGCCCTGGGCTTCCATTTCCCTCCCTTGATGGCTGTCGGGGCTCTGCTGACATGGTGTGGACCTGAGTGTGTGCAGATGGAAAAATCGGCGTCGCACTGGGCAGAGAAGCTGGTGTTACTGGAGGACGGCTAGTGTAAGTGCCGGGTAGAAAACCTTTTCGAGAAGTCTAACGTCTAAATTTGAAAAGCAGAGGGGCAAGGAGAAGGAGAAAGAGCTTTCAGGGCCCCTCTGGGAGCCGAGAAATCGACAACCTCAGTTTTGTTTTGTTTTGTTTTGTTTCAGTTGTACACAGCGAAGTAATTTCATCCCAGTGTGAAATGGAAAAGGTGGGTGTTTGTTTAGATTGAGGCCATTCAGTAATGATTTTAACACTCACTGGAATCTCTTAGCCAAAGTATTCCAGGGACAGAGTCTATAATGAATTCTTATTCTCCCAATTAAAGTTTCAGTCCCAATGAAAATGTTACCTGATAGCCCCTTCCTCTGTTTTCAGGTTTTCGGTCTTTGCTCTGTTTTTACCTTCACGATTGGTGGCCTAGTACATCATTTTCCCAGTGAAACAAATTCTTCCTTTGGCAGCCGGCTACAAAGCCAAGTAGGTTGGCCCTCTGGCTTAGAATCAGGTTCATCAGATTCATTCACACTTTAGATTTGAAGACCAGAAGAAACAGTTGGATTTTTGGATAGAATAACTTCATTTCCTCGACTGAGTGGAATAGGGAGTCATTAATAGTCTTCATAAATAAAATGTTAATAAACAAAGGGCCCTAAATGTTTCCAGCATGACTCAGTTGTCAGTTTACTGCTCTTGAGTTAGCTGTTTCCAAGTCCTCTGAGATCACTTTCATTTTAGTGATGGAGGGATGGCCCGCGTGGTGGATGTGGTGGCAGAGGTGTGTAATGTGAAATGCACTTCCTAATGAAAAGCACAATAACCTGGCTTGTCATTCTTTCCCTTGTGTAGATGAGCCAGTGAATACCATGGGTGACTTTGTTAGAAATCAGCACAAGATTTGGCAGGAGTGTGGGGTTCACAAAGATGAGGAAGAGGACAAGAACTGAGGCCTTTGGAAATATTTCAACTTTCCTTCTTCTGTCCATTCATTTATTCAACAAATGTTAACTGAAGGCACACTCTGCACTAGAAGGGACAAGACTTGTTGGAATGAGACAGCTCACAATCTGGTGGATGAGATAAACCTGTGAATAAATAATTAATATGAATGTACTGCATGAGTCATAAATGGAATTTTCCAAAAGCTTTTCTTTTTTCATAGAAAAGAGACCAGCTAACCCTTTTGAGAGTTTAGGAAGACTTCCCAGAGGAGATGCTATTTGAGTTAGGTATTGAAATAACAAGGAGGTGTTCATGGTGTAGCTCTGGAAATGGGTTGGAGAGACTGAGGCCAAAGGTTATTCTAGGCATAGAGAAGCTTGGGATAGCACTGGTGAAAATGGGAAAATGGCACAGAGTGCTCAGGGGTTGGAGCAGAACCAAGATGTCCCCAGATGGTGCAAGGTCATGTAAAATTTTATTTTATTTTTTCCCCAAAGCATGTGTGATCCTCTAGAAGAATGGATACAGATAAGAGATTGCTTGGGAATTGAGTACTGCAAGATAACTCTGATGATTGAAGGGAGCATATATTCAACAGGGGGAAGATGGGAGTAACTTAAAATAAACCACAGGAGGACATGGCAGGGTTTAATCTAAGGCAGTGGCAGTAAGTATTATGTCTAAAACTGGGATGTTCCAAGATTTTATCCTACTTGCAACTAACAAGTCAGTTTGCCCTGGTTTTATATATAAATACTGACAGATGACATAAGTACCCTAGGCTAGAGACAAAGACGGTTTATTACTCACCGCAAAAACAACAGCCAGACACATGACTCGCACATATTCCCTGAGCTCAGTTCCCACAGGATGGCTTGATGAGGGTTGGGTGTTATTTGCATGTCAATAAGGTACACCAGAGGAGAGCACCCCAAACAGGCTGTTTCCACCCACCTCCGAGAGAGAGAGAGAGAGAGAGAGAGAGAGAGAGAGAGAGAGAGAGAGAGAGAGAGAGAGAGATTACTCATTACCCTACTCTAGGTTTATTCTCAGGGACATAAATCATTATCTCTGGGGAGATGCATCTGAGAGGGATGTACTATCTTTATCTGCCATGTGAATATGTCCTTTGCTCAGAAGGCCCACTGTATAGGAACACACACAAAAAAATCCTCAGTCACTCCACCCATGATTGAAATTTATGAAGCATATTTGGGGCCTGCGAGCGTGTAAGCAGGTTAGATGAGAATGAGGGAAATGAAGAAGGGGGAGGCTCGGTATGACTGCAGCTTCTAATTGGATAGTCTGGGGTTAGGAGGTAGATAATAAAAGGGAGGATCTTTTTATTGTTTTATTATTATTTTTTATGGTGGTAGTAGGAAGTATTTATGGACCTTTTTTGGGGTGCCATCTGCTACTACACAAATAGTGGGAAAGTAGAGGCAAAAAGAGTCAAAGTTCCACATGTCATGCAGACTCAGATTTTTTTATAGGGTGGCAGTGGGGTCTTAGTAGTTAGGAAGAATTAAGGATTAGGTATTCACTTAACTCTTCTTTTGGAAATTGGGCTTTAGAGGAAACTTAAACTTGCCTAAAATAGCACTCCCAAAGCAATTTTCCATCTTCTGGGTCTTCACAATTGCCTCGGCTCTCAGTCCCACAAAGCAGATACCTGACAGGCTCTGGGTACGTGAGAGATAAAATGATATTGAGTAGACAACATCCGATCCAGTAAGGGGTTCTTATGGGCTGCTGTATTTTATGTAGTTGCAGGGGTTGGGAATCCAGGGATGCATTTTTCATTCTAAGCAGTGGATATAGCAGTTGTGGTGAAAAGAGTCCTGGGTCAGGAGTTAGAAGGTCAGGATGGCAGTTTTGGCTGCGTTGTTGACCAGCCATGGAGGCCTGAGATCTGGCGAGACTCCCCCAGCCCTTTCTTCATCTTTAACGTTGGTGTGTGTTGGGTGGAGGGAGGAAGATTGGCTCCTCTGCAAGTGTTTTGATGATCAAGTGACAAGCATTTCTAGAGTGTGAAGAGCTTGCACTTGTAAATTATTATTACTGAGCCATTGCATTTGAGTCTGAATTCCATAAATATTCAGCAAAGGTGTTCAATATATTTTGGGTATTTGAAGTAAAAGGTGTTAATGCTAATTTCTCCCCCTCCTGTCTCTATGTGAAAGAAACTATTGTCCTTGCCTTCTCTGAGGCTCTCGAAATGGGTAAATCCAGGCATCTTTGTGTGAAGGGAGAGTATAATTCCTTGTCTGTGCCTCCTCTATAATGTATAGAAATTTCTTGAATTCTTATATCTAAAGCAATGTACAGCAAATAGAAAATAGCATTGTAAATAAATAAGAGTTTCTTATCATCCACCCACCCACTGGGTTAAACATGAGAGCTTTTGGTGGAAAAATCTCTCTCTCTCTCTCTGTTTTTTTCCTGGTTAAGATTTACTTTTAAGGAGAAGCTTTCTTTTTCTTTGGCATCTCTGGTATTTAAAATAGAATTTTATTACCCAGAGTATCAAATGACTGTATATTATCCAATGTGCAAAAGGTACTCTATTTGGATTGTTATTAAAATGTCAATTATGATTGCATCACTTTAAAAGTTGGATATTTAATCTGAGAAAATAAACCAAATATATACCCTCCTCCTGTGTTACAGGGACTTGGGTTCTAACTTTCTTTCTGATATATAACTACTGACTGCTATTTACACGAGACTGTGCTTGATTCTAATGTAATAAATCACACCCTTGTTACAACTTGTCTTCAAAAGTTCACATGCTTTTCCTCTTTAGTCAGTTTAAAACATTACAAGCCACTCTTTATACCCTTTATCTTTAATTATTGCTCTTTAATAGACTAATTGCATAGGCCAACATTGGGTGAGTTTATAATTTTGGTACCGCTTGACCTTCTGAATCTGCACATTTTATTTCAGGCCTGAGAACCAAGTGAAAGGTGGAAGGATAAAGGAAAATATAATGTGGCTTCTCAGGTACAAGAGATGATAGCTAGCTGGGTTTGGTGGCTCACACCTGTAATCAATCCCAGAAGCTCAGAAAGCTGAGGCAGGAGGATGGCAAGTTCAAAGATAGCCTTTGCACTAAGTGAGGCCCTAAGTAACTTGGTGAGACCTGTCTCAAAATAAAAAATAAAAAGACTAGGGATGTGGCTCAGAGGTTAATGCCTCTGGGTTCAATCCCAGGTACCAAAAAAAAAAAAGAAAAAAAAAAGATGATGATTAAGACTGCTCCATTCTGGTGTTCTAAGAGACCAAGAAGAGAATGGGGTGGATGAGAAGAGAAAACATGTTTCTCAGAGAGGAAAAGAGACACATAACTATGTAACATTAATGTTGCAAGGAATCAACAAATATATGAGATATATATCTCACATATTTGTGTATTTTTTTTTTTTTTGGTACTGGTGATTTAACCCAGGTGCATTTAATCACTGAACCACACCCCCTACATCCCCATCCCTTTTTATTTTTTATTTTGAGACAGAGTCTTGCCAAGTTGCTAAGGCTGCCCTTGAACTTGCAATCCTCCTGCCTCAGTTTCCCAGGTCGATGGGATTACAGGCGTGTGCCATGGCACCCAGTTGCTAAAGTGATCCTTTAACCTTGAGTGACAAAGATATCAATCGATCAGACTCATGCAGCCATCTTATTTATCAAGGGGAAAGTCAGACAAGAACCCTGTTCCGGGTTGGATCTTGACCATCTCCTCTATCTAACAGGGTTGCACTCTTCCTACCTGAGGCTGCCAAAAGAGCTCCAGAGAGGGGAGACCCTAGCAGCAGGAAAAATGTCGACTTTAGAAGGAGGTGTTAATGGAATTTAGTTCAGATTTCATTTCCTGGAAAAGAGATCAGTCAATGTTATGAACTACTAAATGTGACTAGATTGCTTAAGAACTGGTGAAGATTTACAAACTCCTTGGGTTATTTCCTTTGAATTGCAGTTGACTTTTATGCATTTCTAGGCATACTGGTTAGAATAATGGGTGGAACTGGTGATTTTAAATTTTTCTGTTTCACACCTGTTAGAAGTTTATAAATTGC